CCTCTCCCACACCTTCCTTCACCCCCCTCTCCACACCTTCCTTCCACCCCCCCTCTCCAACACCTTCCCTCACCCCCTCTCCACACCTTCCTCACCCCCCCTCTCCACACCTTTCCTACCCCCCTCCCACACCTTCCTCACCCCCCCTCTCCAACAAAAAAACTTTCCTCACCCCCCTCTCCACACCCTTCCTCAACCCCCCTCTCCACCACCTTCCTCACCCCCCTCTCCACACCTTCCTCACCCCCCCCTCTTCCACCACCCCCTTCTTCACCCCCCTCTTCCACCACCTTTCCTCACGCCCCCCTCTCACACACCTCCTCCCACCCCCTCTCCACACCTTCCTCACCCCCCCCTCTCCCACACCTTCCTCACCCCCTCTCCTTTTCCCTCCCAGATACTTGACCTTATCGGAGGATGGCCATGACCCTGGAGGCCTTCCTGTCCCCGCCCGTGCCCATCTACATGCAGTTCTTCATCTTCAACTGACCAACCCGGACGCCATTCGGTACCACGGGGCCAAGCCGGTGCTGCAGGAGGTCGGGCCTTATACCTACGAGTTGAGTGATTTTTTTTTCTTTTTTGGGGGCCGTATTGTGTGGTGGGGGGTAGGGTGGGGTTGAAGGAGAGGGAGGGATTGGAGGTGGAGGAGAGGAGGGGGAGGAAGGGGAGGGGATGGGAGGGAGAGGGGCGAAGGGGTGGGAGGAAGGGGGGGAGGATGGGAGATGGGGAAGGGAGAAGGAAGGGAGAGGGGAAGGGGAGAGGAGGGGATGGGGAGGGATTGAAGGAGAGGGATGAGGAAGGAGAGGGATGGAGAGAGGGATGAGGAGAGGGAGAAGGAGAGGGAGAAGGAGAAGGGAGGAGGAGGGAGAAGGAGGAGGGAGAAGGGGAGGAAGGGGAAAGAAGGGAAAGAAGGGGAAGGAAGGGGAAAGAAGGGGAGGAGAGAGAGCGAAATAGAGCGAAGAGAAGCGAAAGAGAGCGAGAACGAGAGCGAGCGAGGAGCGGAGAGCGAGAGCGAGAGAGTTATTTACTTTATTATTATCATGGTGGGGGAGAGAAAGAGAGAGAGAGGAGAGAAAGAGAGAGAGAGGGGGGGGGAAGAGAAAGAGAGAGGAGAGGGAGAGAGAAAGAGAGAAAGAGAGGGATGTGATAGACGGGAAAGAGCGGAGCGACGACGCCAGAGAGCTGAGTGCGAGCGATGGAGATTTATTTTAACTTATTATTATTCATTATTATTTTCTCCTCAATTTTAAATTACTGTGTTTTCTATTTAAGGTATGTACAACTAAGGAATGCCTTTACAGGGGGTTTTCATTTTTTACTTTCTCTTTCGTATGTTTTCTTTAATGTCTTTGTACTCTTTACTCTCCTTTATCTGTCTCTTCGTTTCCTTTTCAATTTTGCAAAAGGGAGATAGAGAGGAGAGAAGATGCATGTCTGCTTAGATCATTCTTTAATCATGTCCACATGTTTATTATTCATGTTGACAAAGTAAGGCAGTTTTAGTGAGTTGGATACAGGAAAGTCCCCTTTTTTTCTATCTTCTGTCTGAGGAAAGGTGGAAAACGCGTGACCTGAAATGACCTTTGACGCTTTTCGGACTTGGACAATCAATGGAATGAAGTAGGCCTTGGATATAGGGCAATATAGGAGCAGGTTTATTATTGCTGTTAATGTTTATTGTTATTTGTTGTTGCTTGTTATTATTATTATTATATATATTATTATTATTATTTATTATTTATTATATATTATATTATTATTATTATATTATTATTATCATTATCATTATCATTATCATTATCATTTATCATTATCATTATCATATCATTTATCATATTATTTATTCATTTATATCATTATAATATTAATTATTATTATTATTTTATTATTATTATTATTATTATTATTATTATTATTATTATTATTATTATTATATTATTATATATTATTTGTATTGTTATTATTGTTATTGTTATTGTTATTTATTGTTATTGTTATTTATTATTGTTATTGTTGTATTATTGTTATTATTTGTTATTTATTATTATTATTATTGTTTGTTGTTATTAATAATAATAATAATAATAATAATGATAATGATAATGATAATGATAAGATAATGATATGATAATTATAATAATATAAATGATAATGATAATGATTAATAATAATAATAATAATAATTAATAATAATAATAATAATAATAATATAATAATAATAATAATAATAATAATAATAATAATAATAATAAATAATAATAATAATAATAATAATAACAACAATAATAATAATAATAATATAATATGATTATTATTATTATTGTTTGCTGTTGTCGTGTTATTATCATTTGTTGTTATCGTTGTTGTTCCCTCCACCTCCAGGGAAAAGCGCCTCAAGTACGACCTCGAGTGGGACGACGCAGAGGGCACCGTCACCTACCTGCAGAACAAGTCGTACATTTTCGTCCCCGAGATGTCTCCGGGGCTGTCGCTGGAGGACGAGATCACCACCATCAATGCCGTCATGTGGTGAGTAGGGGAGGAGGGAGGGAGGGAAGGGGAGGGGCGGGAGGGGAGGGGAGGGGAGGGAGGGAGGGGAGGGGAGAGGAGGGAAGGAGCGGGGAAGGGGGAGAGGGGAGGGGAGGAGGGAGGGAGGGGGAGGGGGGAGGGGAGGGGAGGGAGGGGAGAGGAGGGAGGGAGGGAGGGAGGGGAGGGGGGAGAAGGGAGAGGAAAAGGGCAGGTGATGATGGAGTGAGAGTGAGAGATGGAGAGAGAGAGATGAGAGAGAGAGATGGAGAGGAGAGAGAGATGGAGAGAGAGAGAGGGGAGAGAGATAGACGGAGATTGGAGATAGAGAGAGGTATAGAGATAGAGAGAAATAGTGATAGTGATATAGATAGAGATAGATAGAGAGATGGAGAGAGAGATAGCGATAGAGATTGAGACTGAGATAGAGAGTAATAGTGATTGATATAGAGATAGAGAGATAGAGATAGAGATTGAGATTTAGAGAGGAAAGAGAGGTGAGTATGAGAGAGGGGGATGAGAAGGAAAGGGTGAATGGGAAGGAGAAAGGGAGAGAGTTGGAACGGTAGTGGGGAGAGAGTGTAGAGGGAGAGGGGAGGGAGAAGAGATAGTGGAGAGAGGGAGAAGAGATAGAGGAGACATAGAATGGAGAGGAAGAGAAGGAGAGAGAGGAGAAAGAGAGAAGAGAGAGGGAGAGAGGAGAAAGGAGAGGGAAAGAGAGGAGAAGGAGAGAAGGGAGTGATAAGAGAGGGAGAGAGAGGAGAGGGAGAGGGATGAGAGGAAGAAGAGACAGGAGATAGATAGATAGAGATAGAGATAAATAGATAGAAATAAATAGATAGAGATAGATAGACAGATAGATACAGAGAGTTGGAGGGAGGAAGGGAGAGGAGAAGCGAAGGAGAGAGGGAGTGAGAGTGAGGGAAGAGAGGGAAGGAGGAAGGAGAGATAGATAGATAGGTAGATAGAGAGTCAGAGAGAGATAAAGATGGAGAAACAGAGAGGGAGGGATGGAGAGAGAAGATTGACAGATAGATATAGAGATAGGTAGGTAGATAGATAGATGGAGAGGGGGAGGCAGAGATAGAGAGAATAACAGAAATAACTGCCTGTATGATCAACACTATATATATAATATATATATATATATATATATATATATATATATATATATATATATATATATATATATATATATATATATATATATATATATATATATATATATATATATATATATATATATATATATATATATATATATATATATATATGTGTGTGTGTGTGTGTTGTGTGTGTGTGTGTGTGTGTGTGTGTGTGTGTGTGTGTGTGTGTGTGTGTGTGTGTGTGTATTGTCCATGTCCATGTAATGTCTATGTCCAAAATATGTCCATAATGTATGTCTTTCTCCCTCCCCCCCCCCCCTTCCCTTACCCATCAACCCCCCCACACCTCCCTTCCCCTTCCCCCTACCCCCCCACCCCCCTTTCAAGAAAAAAAACAAACTCAGTCCCTGGCGCCCAAGGTCGAAGCCGAGAGCCCCCTCCTGCACGCGCTGGTCGAGCTGGCTTTCCTTGCGCTTTAAGGAGTCGCTCTTTATAACGAGGTCGGTGCGGAGCTGCTCTTCGACGGCTACGAGGAACCTCCGCTGGCCGAGCTGGTCAAGCACTCCAGGGGACCCGACGGAGACCAGGGGGAAGTTCGGGTTCTTCTACCCTGTGAGTTGACCTGAGGGGGTCATCTTTTTTTTTTTTTATTTTTTGTAATTGCCTTTTTTTTACTAATTGCCCTTTTTTTTTTTTTTTTTAATTACCTTTTTTTAATACTAATTGCCTTTTTTTTTTTTTTTTTTTTTTTACTGCTTGCTCGTTTTTTTAGTTATTTTATCATACATTTTTTTTTTTTTTTTTTTTTACTAATTGCTCGTTTTTTTTACTGCTTGCTCGTTTTTTTATTTTATTTTATTTTTATTTTTTTTTTCACTATTGCATCCGAGCTTGTTTTTGGTGGCAATTTGAAAGGTTTAATAAGCTCGGTAGATGGTATTGGTGGAATTTATGGCTTGTTTTTTCCCTTTTAATTTTTATTTGTACTAGTTTGAGTGCATGTCTCTC